GGAAAATAATAACTATAGGAAAATAATAACTATAGGAAAATAATAACCATAGGAAAATAATAACTATAGGAAAATAATAACCATAGGAAAATAATAACCATAGGAAAATAATAACTATAGGAAAATAATAACTATAGGAAAATAATAACCATAGGAAAATAATAAGTATAGGAAAATAATAACTGTAGGAAAATAAAGGGATGAAAGAGAAGCAGGACTCACTCGGGGGCCAGCTTGTCAAGACGTGCAAAAAGATCCCGTTTGACTTTCAGATTTTCAACGATGGCCTCCAACACCAGATGTGAAGCAGCAACAGCCGAGGCGACGTCCGTTGAAACGGAGACGTTCTGCAGGACCTTCTGGATGAATTCCTCAGCTGCCTGAAACAGAGCTGGTTCTGAAGTGAGCCGTCCACGTCGTCACGGTTACTGTGGAAGCAGCCTCACCTCATGTTTGTCAGCAAACTTCTTTTTGGCCACTCTTCGGAGGCTTCCTTCCATGCCTTGGACGGACTTCTTCAGGACGTCTTCGGACACGTCCACCAGGGACACCGTGTGGCCTGTGCAAGCTGCCACCTGCAAAATACAGTTCAAGAGGAGGCTGCTGGGTGACCGTGCACGTTGAGAAGACGGCGTGCACAAACAGCTGTGGCTCAGTGGTTACAGCCGCCGTCCTCCAATGCAAGAGTTGAGGGTTCGATTCCACCAGCAGTCGCATGCTGAGGTGTCCCTGAGCAAGACACTGAAGTCCTCTGTGTCCCGTGTGTGTGCGTGTGTGCGCGCGTGCGTGTGTGTCACACACACCGGATGATTTGAAAACTTGAAATCTTGTAGATCAGAAGAAAAAGCTTGAACTTCAAACAGCTGATCTCTTAAAACCTGACACTTCATCACGTGACTGCATTTAGGTGGAATTGAACCCCCAACCTCAACAACTGGAACAAGCCCCACAGCTGTAACGGTTTTCTTGCACGTGCAAATGATTTTATTGTGAATCTATAGTTGACCATCGATACTCAATCAATCGATCATTTATTTATGGAGTTAAACGATAAAAGTCCAACAACCAGCTCCTCACAGCTGAGTGAAGCTGCTGCTCGTGCGTGTGTGCACACGCTGCTGCTCGTGCACGAGTGCTCTCGGTGACGTTACCTGAGTGATGCCCGCGCCCATCAGCCCCGCCCCGATGACCGTGACATGTTTGATGACGGTGTTCCGAGCGGCCGACGAGCAGAAGCCTCTGCTCACGAGCTGACACAAGGAGGCCATGACGGTGAAGCTCGAGGACCACTGGGACCACTGGGACAACTGGACTCTGGGACACGGCACGTGATCCTCACGTCAAAGAGTTTCGCTTCCGAGTTATTTTCGGAGGTTGTGGAAGTTCAAGCGTCATTACTGCCCCCTGCTGGAGCGGAGGAGAAACTGCAATCATTGTTCAGGAACCAACAAAGTCCAGGCTCCATAATCCAGGTGCACAATCCAACATAATCCAGGTGCACAAGCCAACGTAATCCAGGTGCACAATCCAACATAATCCAGGTGCACAATCCAACAT